AAGAGAGAGAGAGAGAGAGAGAGAGAGAGAGAGAGAGAGAGAGAGAGAGAGAAAGAGAGAGAGAGAGAGGGGTGTATGCCTAGTATGTCGCTCTTATATATCGTGTCATTTCATGAACGTTTCTGGCATATTGCTTTTGGAATGAAGGGGAGAAGGGGTAGGGGGAACATTTTTTTGCACGGTTATCTTCGTTCTGAATACGTGTGAGTGCGTGCGATGTAAATATGTGTTTGCAGGGGGCTTGTTTAGTTATCCGATAGTCCTTGCAAAAAAATAGTTAAGCATAGTTCATCATGGGGTTGTCTTGACAAGGCTATGTGCACGTGAGGACTGGGCATGGTGTATGCTGTTGCCTAGTTTATGTTTGGAGCACATGCCACGTGTCAATGGGAGACAAATATTTGTCGGTGATGTGTGTGGGGGTTATCAAAACACGAGGTAATGGTTTATCAGAGTTGGAAATCTAGGAAATCGTTCGAGACATTGTGAGAGTGTCAGAAGCAGGCAGAACTAATTCTCGTGCGTCGTATATAGAATGGCTTATGTCAATCTGGATTTTTACGAGCGAATCGGACACAGCTGCTAATGCTTTTATTATGGCAATACTGGTATTTGAAAAAAGGAAAACTTGGCACAATATAATTTACATGTAATACCTCGGTTTTGCTTTAGCATTTGCGTCCGAGCATTGTACGGGGGTTGTTTTGAGCGGGTTTTGTTTACCGAAGCAAATACTTCGGAGCACACGGTTTTGAGTCTTGTCTGGATCTTCCCTAAAGTACCGAGAACATGAAAACACATACCTGCGTTTCTAACAAGGGAAGCGACCAATTCCGGTTTCTTCGTGATTGAGACAACCCATTGGCCATGCCGGCGTTTGTCGTAATGTTTATAACAGACCTCATCAGTATCAAATTTATGTATGACGATTCTGTCGTGTTTCAATGATTATGTCCTGCAGGGGAGGACCCGTGCAGCACTAAGTCAGTGGAGATACGCTGTAATGGCGAGGAGGTGCAGATGGTGCGTATAGAGAGACAGATAAGCGGATATTATTTTATATAGTCCTACCACAGTTATTTTAACAGTGTGTGGTTCCCGTAGTATTCTATGTGTGATCAGTAATCATGGAGGTAGACTGGATCTTTCTTTGATGATAATATTATACCCGTAGCGTTAGCGGAACTCCGTACGTCAACTTTTGCTACCTTTCTGATTAGTTGCACAGCTAAGTCTTGACGCAGATAGAAAGGCTATTCTATGAATACATGCAGATACCACCCCGTAATGCGAACTGTGGCTAAATATCTTGCGAGTAAAAGGCATGTTTTCGATATTCATTAAGCAGTTTAAGTCAGACCGAACAGTAGGTGCGGATAGCATATATTACATATGAGGTCAGTCGGGGGGCAGAAGATATATAAATAATATTGTGATGTGTGCCTTGCTAAGACTAACCCGATCAGGAAATGTAGGAACGGTATCGGCGGATTCGGTGGAAGGGATGGCGAAATGAGAGCAGGAGACGAGACATATTAGTAGGGCAATGTACCAGTAAGGTGCGCGAGGTAGGAATGTGACAGCGAGTGGGATGGCCATGCGTGAGCGAAGAAGAATATCGGGACGGAGTGGAAGGCGAGGCGGGGCATGGGGGGCAGGTGTCGGTCAATCGAAGGGCGGTGCTTATGCAAGGGAGCGGTTGTAAGATCAGATCGGTTGTAGAGTGCGGATGTCATGGTCTTACTTATAGTGCGCGTATAGCCCTTGTATATATCCAAGGTAAAGGAATCGTGCTATACCAGTACCAGTGTATTTCGGGCGGGGTTGCCCCAATCGGCATTCTTATTTTATTAATTTCACAACACGTGCATCAACGTTTTATGGTTAATCGATCATCTATTAACCACTAGAAAACAGCCGGATGTCATCCTATCTGTGGTTTAATCACGGAGTAGGTGGCGCGAAGATACCAACCTAGAACTTGACTAGTCATGTTTTGAGGGTAGTACATTCCGGAGGATATTTGTATGAGGCAATTATTAACACTTCCATTAGGCATGCAATCGTATAGTAGTACAACAATTTATTGTAACCGCACATCAGCTTCAAGCGTAAGATACGAGAAAGGTACAACCAAACAGTGCAACCAAGAGTAAGATACGAGAAAGGCACAACCAAGAGTAAGATACGAGAAAGGTACAACGAGAAAGGTACAACCAAGAGTAAGATACGAGAACGGTACAACCAAACAGTGCAATGTATAGATTGATTCATCAACCTAGTACAAAGATAAGTCAGTCCATCAAGCAGCAACCAAAACAAGGCATATAAACAACCATTAGTGGCGTGTGCATTTGGGTGAAGTAACTGATCGTCAGCGCAACAGGGTAATCAATCGAAGACAGACAAAAGGCGAGGGACGAAATACCAGAGGGGGTGCAGACTTCTAGCATGGTACGACAGAATTACCGTGCTACAGAACTGTTTGCTAATGAGCTATATTTGAAGAGGGTAAGGTGTCCTGATTTCTCAGAGACTTTTTCTGAGGTTTAAGATGAGTGTACAGGGAGGATTTGCACGGGATTTACGCCATTGCTTGGTATGCGAATTGAGGCGTCGAATGTGGCCAGGCGAACGTCATAAAGTAGGAGTGGCAGTGAGGGATGAGTTTTCGGTTGTTTTAGCGCAGGAGGTGGCTCTGGGTGCAGTGTTGTATGTAAGCAAGATGTGGGCGCAACATGCAATCGTGTGCTGGTTAATCGCAATACCATGCAGACAAATATAAGACAGGGTGGGCGATACTTAGTGGTGACGTTATAGTTGGAGTAAGTGCGTGGAGCATCCTGCCCAATGTTACCGGTTAAAGTCTCTAAGTGGGGGAGTCTACCCCCAGCTTGGCGACTGGATATAAGCATCCGGGTGTGTGTGCGATGGGTGTGTAAAAACACGGCCATCACATGCAGAATGGGAAAGAGACATAAAATTTTAGTGACAGGAGGGTATCACGCTTTTAGGTAGTCTCCGTATACGGAGAGTAACTCAACATGCACCAAGGGGGATTTAGGTGGTAGGCAGGGGAAGGTGGGGAGCAGTTAGTATGTTAGCAAGGTTAGGATCGGCAAGATTAGAATGCCGAAGGGGGGGTGCACGCCCTAAAGCGCGCTTTTCGCCGCATAGCACCCRTAGCGGCTCATCAGAGGGGTTAGCTTAGTATTGGCTCTTGTTAGGGCGGGGGATGGTATGGGGGTGGGGGGCAGGGAATGCATGGGCATCAT